CCCTCGGTGGGAGCGCCGCTGCGCTCCCAAGCGGCGCACTGTAGCAGTGCACCACCAGGCCGGCCCCTTACACACGCTTTTCTACAGAGGCTCTTTTGCCTTTAACAATACTGTTTTTCTCAGAAATTCCTTGTTATAATACAATTCTAGGTATAAAATGATTTTTTATGAAGCTAACTCTGGGAAATGTAACATTTTATACTTGTGTCTTATAGGGTATGTGTGAGTCTTAGAATTTAAGCATTAGACTGTGGTGAGATAGTTTGGATGTATTCAAAGCTGTGACGTCTAACTAATCCATCTGATGAGTGTCAGAAGGCAATTTAAGCAGAGCAGCGATGATAACCCTATGCCAGTTTCTAAATTTAAACACTGAATTGCAATAAACTGTGCCGTAACAGGAAGAGGCAGAGTAAAGAAGCCGTATTCCTGGGCTGTGTGAGCCACAGTAGGCATTTTGATCTCTTTGGGACTCTGGTTCCTCATATTTTGAAATGAATGGCTAAGGATATATGAATTTTGATATTGTAGCTATAAAATTCTATAATTCAAAAAGATAAAAGGCTTCTCATCCTCAACTTTATATGATACAGAAGTAGACTCTTGTCTTTGTTAATTGTTAAATGAGTCCTTACCCATAGCCAGCCAGGAACCCCAGACTTGGGGGACTGACTTTGTCATTGAAGACCACCAGTTCCAAGGCCTGAGAATGCTGATTGTATATTCTGTTTCCAGTCAGGTTGAGAACCCACCACTCGCTGTTAGATTTAGTTGTATTGTCTCTGGACAAAATGATGGTGATATTCATGAAATGATTTTCTGGAAGGGGAGAAAAATAAAATCAAGTTAGCATGCGAATTTTAAGATGTAATGCCTACCAACAGTTCTTAGATGGCAAAGTCTGTTACTATCTATACGTGGTTCCAGGACGAGAAGTACAAGTGGGCATACTAACAATGCGAGTGGGAAGGAGGAGTGGGCTCTAGGTGTGTAAGTGGTTTCTTCTTTTCAGAGAAAGAGCTCAGCCACTGCTGCCACAGGTGCGTGGCAGCCTCTCCATGGGGAGAGAGCGAAGGATCCTCTCCTGAGCGGCTGTGCTGATAATTTCCACCAACTAAGTGGACATTGAAAAACCCAAATCACTGACTTGAAAGAATTGACTGATTTATTCATATTACCAGCATTTATTGAGTGTCTCATAAGGGGAAGAGACTTGATTAAGGGGCTAAGGAGTTATAAAATTGCACATAACATTGTCTCCATGGGAAAAGACCCTGTACACAGGCACAACTTATCCGCATGTGCAACCATTGCCTGATGGCTTGAGAGACCACTTCCAGTTGGTCTCCATGAGTGCTTCACAGAGGAGATGACTTTTAAACTGAGTTCTGATGAACGAGATCATTTTGGGAAGGACTGACAGCATGAAACTCTGAAAAGTTCCAAAAACTCATCATGTACGGCCAATGATCACCTTTGCTGGCGCACAGGGTGAACACAGAAGAACAGTTAAAGACAGGGCCGACGGAAAGCTTGAAGTTGCATTGTAGAGGTCTTTCTAAGAAGATTCTGCCTTTGCCAATAATAGTGCCTCCACCAGGAAACATGGCAGCATACTATAAACCCTGAGGGTAGGAACTACGTCTGCACTATTTCAGGCAAATTCCTAGATCACAGGCATCTGGGACAGTGCACGGCAGTAAACGTCTGTTGGACGGATGGATGAATGGATGAATGGCAGGATATGGGTAAAGCCAAAGGTCTCCTCAAGAAAGAATGTGAACCTCTCAGAACACCTAGCAACAGGAAGAACGTTGGTTCTGAAGGCCAGAGACAGTTACAAGGGGGAAGAGACAGGCCCAGGGTGGGATCTAGTTCTACTACGTACTGGTTGCATGGCCTTAGC